TATATATATATATATATATATATATATATATATATATATGTAGTTTATATATAATATAATTTTGATATTTGGATATTTTAAACGCTTTCTTTAACACGAACAATATATGTTTCTATAAAATCAGTCTATTTTCTTCCTACTTAAATATATTCTAAAAATATTTTAAAAACATGAACAAAATCTCAAAATATCTCGCGAGATTCGATTACTTGATGGAGGGTCCGAATCAGGTTGAATAGTAAAAGCGCCTCTGTTTAGGGCTTCGTTTTCGAATGAACTTACGAGTCAACGGAACATATAAGGTTTTTATTTGCTGTAACATGTTTTTCCTCTTTGTTTTTAGTCCTTAGGTTTGGTCGGGTAGCTTGTAGGAGACTTCTCGTTCAGTTTTAATCGCTTCTGCCGTTGGACTAAAAGATGCCGTCACTCGTGTATAAAACTTGCTAATTCAATTAATTTTGTTCATGAATATTTGTGTCATATATGTAATCATAATAATCATATACTTAGTTACGGTAAAAAAAAAAAAAAAAATCAAAACTGATGTTTTCCGGTTGTATTGTATTTATTTATTTTTTTAGCTTGAAACTTTAGTTGCTGTGTGTTTGAAGGGGTAAAATATGTTAGCTAGCCAATTAGCTGTAACCATTATTTAAAACCCCCAAGGCCTTCATTTTTATTTTAAAGCTCTACATAATACTTTTAAAAGTACAGATAAAAAAGTACATTTAAAGTTAGTGTACCAAGTTTATCCATGTCAGAAGACTATTTTTAGGCCTCTCCTGTTATAACCTGTCTTTATCCACCTGAGTTGAGAGAAGTTCATTTGTCTGTTGGCGTTATTTTGAATTTTGCTTTATTTACTAGCTAATACTGAGCTGGTCTGCTCAGAGATTTACACTACGCGTCTAGTTCAAAATACACAACAATATAAAATACACAATATATTATAACTCTTGAGATTGCCTTAGATCAGATTCTGGCACGTCACTTTAAATTGCTATATAACAAACTCTGTAATTTTGTTAAACAAAAAGTCTTATGGGGATTATGTCATTCATCTAATTCCCAAAAATAAAATTCTTAGAAAATCTGAATACTATTTGAAAAATGGTTTGTTTT